TCTTCAGCATATACCAACATACATCTTATACATATTCCGTACCAAAGTCTGTTGTTAATGGTGGACCACCGAACTATCTTGCTATAGGTGAGCGTCTTTGAGCTAGAGCTCACTGATATATTGATTTATTGATTTCTTCTCAGCGGGTCCACCTCTAGAATCGAATTATGCTGGAGATTATGTGAGAGCAAATATTGAAAGGACAAGAACGAGACGAGCCAGAAGGATAAGTGAAGTGAATAATGGTTAGGTTGCTATAACTAGACTACTTTACGATTACGGTAATAACTTAGGGATCCGTTCCGCACTCTGAAACAGCAACTCCAAGAACTAAACGCAATTCCCGGAAACCATCTAGGGATGATTCCATCTATGAGCCACCACCAAGCCCTGTAAGATTTTACTTTGGCATGTTGTCAAGATGACACCGAAAAAGCGCTTCATTTCTACGTTTCCAGAGAGCTTCCTCGCGTGATTCGTCTCCACAGCGACCTCGACAACCCCATGGGCCATACTTCCAAGATCCTTCAATCAGTATGCACCAACAACGTTGGCGACCGTTTGCGCATCCTCAACCGTATATATACTATCCACCACCTACTGCATTCCGACGGTAGGTTACACTTGGATCCTCTCATTAGCCAAGAGTTTCTGTTTATCTTAGAGGATTTTGACTCTTTGCTCAAAATATATTGTGATTTTTCATAGCTGCCTTAAATGAATTTATTATTTTTTGCGATTTTTGTTTTTTTTCCTCTGTGTGATAATGCTGATGAATAACATCAGTTCTTCCAAAGTTACCCTAGCATCTCATGACCGTATATTCAACCAGACATTGCAGTTCAATATTCGATTGATTTTATATGTTGTTAAAAGTGATATGTAGTTGTCCGTATGGTGCTTTCATAAGTATTCTTTCATCGTTTAGTAGTCGAAACATTTATTAAAATATACTCGCATTCTCATTCCAGCGTCCAGTTGTATTATATACAAGGATAATAAATAATAAAGTATTCTATATGGTTCGATTTTATTGATTTTTCAATAACTTTTGCAGATTTGATATACTGTAATTTCCTGTAGATAAGTCGCACCATAAGAGCAACATCGGGCGCAGAATCACTCTTCGCCACACGCGCCGCATCCACGCGCAGCGCGACTTAAACGTGGTGCGCACAGCTAAAAGTGCGCTCTAGAGGAACAAGTGCGACGCGGCAGGCATCGGTTTCAAGGTGTGGCTCGTTTACTGGAGATTAGGGTAATCGAGTCGGTCCTTGGGCACTTTTTAAAAGATTTGAATTGTCACGTGAGAACATCGCTATGTGCAGGAGCCGCGCCGCCTCAACGCGCGCGAGAACGCGCCCAGGCTATACAGTCGGCGATGTGCCAGTCGCGTACACAAAATCTGTGCAAGGCTTGAGAGCAGCAAAGTAGTCTCGTCATTTTGGAGTTCATGTGACAGTTCATGTACACTGTTGAGTCATGCTTGTCGAAAAGGACGAAAAATGATTGCGCAGTCATAATGTTTTTTTTTCTACAAATCAAAGGATAATGTTTATAAATTTGATCAGTCTCCTCTTACATTTCATCACGTCACCCTATCTGTTTATTTGATAATGCGTAGGATTTAAGACGCACGTGAGTTAGTTGATGTTTCAGGCAAGCGCTTTTGTCCATCCAAGAATTCTAGTATCAATCCTTTAAGATACAGATTTTCAAGCCAGGAGAGTAATAATTCGTCCCATTGCTTATCAGCAGCGCTATCTTTCGTTACCAATGCACCACATTGTGACTAATTAATGGTAGCGGTTCCAAGAAAAGGTTTCGTTTGATTATCGTCTTTCTGAATTATTGTCTATTGCAGGTGTTCAGTAATGTACTTTTTTAAGGGTTACTGTTTGGTGCGATAGTTACCTTATCAGGTATAAGAAGCTAATAATT